CAAATATTTAGCAATTTTAGAAGAATGGCTTTTACCAGTGATGGAAGAATGATTGACATCCGGCCAAGATTTTGTGTTTCAGCAAGATGGTGCAGCATGCCATACCTCAAAAAAGGCTATAAAATGGATGGAAGAAAATAATATACCACTTTTGAAATGGGTTTCTAGCAGTCCAGATCTGTCACCTGTTGAAACTTTGTGGCACGAGATGAAAAAGGTTCTACGACAACATCCTGCTCATACAATCACCGAACTGAGACAAAAGAAATATGGTATTGTTTTACACCAAATTTTTGCCAAAACTTGGTTAACACTATGCCCCAAAGAATTTCAGCCGCAATAAAAAATAAAGGTGATGTTACCCAATGGTAATCCTTCAATTGTTGCTTTGTTAACTTCGCGCATTTATTCGCACATTGTTTATTTGTTCAGATGTTCTATTAGTTATAGGTCTAAGTGATTACAAATATGTGTTTTTTACGACTAGAGTGTATCTAAAATGTTTTTGAGAAAATAAATTGTTTTAGAAGTAAATAGTTTCGTCATGTTTAGTTTATAAAGGGATATTTTGGTACAAATCTTGAAGTGGGCCAACTGAAGTGGGAAGGGGCTCGTATAGGATCTTAAGTATGTAAAGTAATAACCTTTGAAAGTTACCTATTGATGTGTACGCATCCGTCATATGTAAAAATAGCTCAATTATAACCACTGATGATAGTGAGTAGTAATTTTTATAACATTCCAAGCTTGGAATGAAGACTATTCTAGGGTACTAAATGCTCAAAGGTAACACTTGTTCAAACATGTATTTGGTATCCTTCTGAAAATTCAATGAACTACTTTTTTCTTTCTATTTATCTTGAAGTGGCACCGTGATTTATACTTTGTATATATTACCGTAGATGGTACTATGAAGCTTACACTCTCGTCTGGAATTTGTTTATTAATCTCCCTTGCCTTACGAAATGTCTATCTCACGTTAACGGATGCAAATTATATAGCAGGCATATCTTAATATTATCAAATACTTCATTTTATATTATAGGCATTTTGAATCACTACTAATGAATATGAAATTACTATTTAAATGAGATATAATATGTTACCACCAGTATTACAACTCGAAATTCTCCTTCCAACAGCTTCACTCCACAGAGCACTTAATTGTAAATAATTGGCACGCCTGTTTTTCACGATTATTCTTCTTAATGCTTTTCGGTCGGCATTTGTGATATTACTTTTTTTCACATATCGTGGCTTAATATTAGCTGAACCAGTTACATTATATCTTCTAACAATATTTCTCACACTGTCCCGCGATAAGTCTAACAAAGTTGCAATTTCTGAGTTTGATTTCCCAGAATTAAAAAATTTAATTATCAGTAACCGAATTTTTTCACTAATAACCTTTCCTCTACCTATTTTGAAAACCTTAACTACCCAAAACTATTTTAAACATATTCTGACGGCTGTGATTAATGAAAACAATTGTCATGGCTTTTATTTTTCACAGCCACCTATGCGTTATAGACTTATTTTGCATTGAAATATGATATGCTGAAATTGCAACATGTGTTATTTTTATGCTGCAAATTTGATTAGGGAGTGATAAAGTTGGTGTTTTCTACTATATATTATCAAAATATTCATTGTTAATATTTTAAACCTATAACACCCTGCTACATTTGTATTATTTGTGTTTGATAAGAAAAAAACTAAGATTTCAATAGTTGGGCCAACTGAAGTGGGAAGGGGCTCGTATACCTGCTGTTCCCACCAGCTGAGCTACTTTGTTGGCTATCATTCCATTGCTGATGAAATAGTCAACCAGTAGTTATTCTGATAACGTCAGAATGCCATGAGCAGTTAAGCAAAATTACTATTAATTGGTGGTCATCACAACGACCGGTGGACCGCAAAAGAATAAACATAATACTCGAGTCGACCTACTTGTCACCATAGGGGACCGCAGGAATTTTTCTCAGGCAGGGGGGCGACCATCGGCAAGAGAACATTTTGTGAAAGTCCTCCAGCATGCAAAGCTCATCGTCCAACCGGCGGGTGCCCACGATTGCCAGTACTTTTTCTGTTTTCATGAGTAGGATGGGAGTAGGCTATAAACTCTTGTAAAAACAATTCTTTCCAACAAGGAATTTTTTACTATCAAATAGAAACGTAAATGACCGAATATTGCTTGGGATTCTTTAGACTTCATTATGAAGAACAATGTAATCGTTCTGCCTAGATGTGCAAATAACCAATAAAAATTATGCATAAAGCGATTGGAGTATAGCGGGTAGTAGACAGATTGGAAGAAGTATTGGTTCATTTACATCTGTAGGTATGAGAAAAAGTCTAGGAATCTGTTTTTATAATTTAATTTTATAAAAAATATTTAACAATAAATCTACAAAAACGTGTTTCTATTCTTCAACTACGACTGGTTGTGGCCTATGCTTCCTTTTGCTGACTTTGGTTCCTTTTGGCTTGGGTGTTGGCGGATTTTCTAATTCAGCCAGTTGATCTGGTGTCAGCCTTCCTTTGTACCAGTCAGCGCTGAAAATGAAAATAAAACAAAGACGTTCATAGACAAAGATAAATACATTACTTTTTCTTAGAAAAATTGTTCTTCTAATGACCCTTCTTATAATTAATTGGAACTTGGGGATCTAAGGGTCTAAAAATACAGTTTGCTGTTAATTTGCCGGCGTTTCGGAAAAGCTTGTTTCCTTCTCCAGAGCTCTAAAAAAAATTTTTAAACACCAGCAACTTTATAAGAGGAAACTGTGTTTCTTTATACCCCAAATCCAGTTAATTACAAGATTTTTTTATCTTAAAAAGCATTATTGCAACTTTTGTTTAATACACAAACTGATAACGAAATTTATCCAATATAGACTACTTTTCAGCATTAGTACAAATAAATGTTAATTTTACATACAGATTTTTACTATGTTCAAAAATCATTAATTTGCTTGTTAGTTTGTGTTAAAGATATATTTCCAAATAGATTTATGCTAAAAACGGAAAATGCGATTTGACAACGTTTTTATTTTTATATACTCTGTGCCTTATGGCGTAAGAAAAAGCTTCAATAGTCTTTATCTGAGTTTGACATTGTTGAGAATGGTTAAAGACATTTTTTTAGTTTGTTTTAAAGTTTTTATTTCAACGAAGGTAAAATTATTTATAGCGCACTCAAAGTTTTATAGCAAATTGTATTTTTTACAAATTGTTTTTGAGTATTTATGGCATCGCTATACTTTGCGCTAAGCTGACTTCCTGACAACACTCAACAACATTAAAAGACAAAAACCTGTAAATGCAGATCTAAATTAACATTCCAACAGAAAATTGAATCGATTACGTAATTGGCAGTTCTCTGTTGCAACAAATTTCGTTTTGATTCCGAACCGACTGAGACCTGGTGCTAACAGCTGTGGTTATCTGGAATACGAGTAGAAGTTCAAATTTATTAGCGTATGTGCGTTTAAAAATGAATAAAGATTTTCAGCTGATAAGGTTTAAAAAAATCAGAAATGGAAATGACATGGATAAGTGTAGATAATTTTATTGAATCTGTTTCAATCGTATTAATCTTATGCAATATTTCTTTCAAGTCAATTAATAGCTTAGTATTGTTAACATTTCACTTAATTTCCTCCTCTGCTACTGCACAAGAAAGTTTTCTCTAAATCTGTTGTCTTGTTTTTCCAATTTTTGTATTTACAGTACGTCAAGAACAATAAATTATCTCAAATTCAGGTATAGCATACAGAAACATTTAAAATTACAATTCACTTCAATTAAGGTTATGTTTAATGACAATAAACCATTGAATTCTTTGTTCCAACAAGATAGTCAGGAACTAGTTATGAGCTGTAGCTCGGGATGTGCCGAAAATTAATTCGGAATTAGTTCTGAACTAGTTCATAATCGCTTCTAGGAACAAACCTATAATTTCTTGTCTAACACAGTCAGTTTCTACATGATATGTATACTGACCATTCTGGTACATGACGCGCCCAGTTGCACTGTTTGCTGACTTCGTCAAACACCTGACCTAGCTTACATCCATTTCTCCTAGGGATGTTACCGTTGATGCACACATAGAAATATTGGCAGTCTTCTGGATCGGCATATCTAGGATGAGTCAGTCCAGTAGCTTCGTCTACCTTTGGACATTCAAACTGGAACACGTCTGGAAAAATATAAATATACATACCTGTGTCGATCTAGAAATAGGATTACAATCAATTTCAGAAAAACAAAACATTGTTGTCTTACAGAAATTTACATCATTGGAAAGATGAAACTCTGCTCTATTTTCCTAGATAATCGCTATTTTTCCTAGGCGGTTGGGAAGAGTTTTACTTCTTTTTGACTTTATACAGGGTGTCCGCAAAGTTGGGGTTTTCCTTTACCCGACGTGTAGATCTTGAAAACATAAGCAATTTTTCTTAGTACCATATACACCAATGTCTTAAGGGAACCGAGATAAAGGGGTCTGCAACATCAAAAATATCTGAATACCGTCCTGTAGCCGCGACCCGCGACATCCCCGAGTGGTAGTAGGACACTAGCTCAACCCGACGACAGAACTGGGTCGGGATCAGTGTGTCAGGTCAGTATGCAACCTTCAACCGACGGTTACGGTCACGCGGGTAGAGGTAAACGAACTCGTATAATCGATTGCGTTTCAAAAAAAAAATAATAATGGCACACTCATACACCAATAATGAACTCGTTGATATGTTGTTAATTTATGGCGAATGTCTTCAAAATGCTACAGAGGCGTCGCAAGTGTATGCAGATCGTTTCCCTAGACGACATCATCCAAGGCCCCGCAGATTTGTGTACCTGGTCCAGAGAGTCAGGGATACTTTTCAAAATTTGCGAAAGTTTGGAAATTTTTGAAAACTTGTAAAACTGAAAATATTCGAAATTATGCAAATTTTGAAAATTTTGGAAATATTGAAAACTAAAAGTCAAAGTTAAGGGAATATTTGAGTGATCCATGCTTCCCTAGAGGTGATGAGAAGGTAAAACGCTTCCTCAATGGGTTTGCAGCGGAGCTCTATGTCATTGGGATACCGTCTACAAAAATGAGTAGAAAGAAATGGCGGTCATGCGGAAAAGCATAGTTTCATCTATCCAATGACGTAAATTTTGTATAAAAATGAACAATGTTTTATTTGTCTAAAATCGAAAGGATCCTTATTTCTGGATCAACACTCATATATTATGGAAAATTTGGGGGATAAGAAACCCGAATATAGCTTCCCGTGACTGGAGAGACGTACAGAATCGGTCGAGAAAATTCACTTTTTCTGAGGATGAATGCGTTAGATGTTATGAATACTTTTTGCCCCCGAAACTGGCCATCGTGTATTGTTTTTCTTCGACCCTTACAACAATGCACTGCATGTCACTAGACCCAACCCGTCAAGTTAGGAATTATATTCCAACATAGATGGTGTAAAAGGTATCATGGTAATACCAATCCAAATCTACCTGAGAGAATTGTGGTAACAGCGTACTTGGTTTGCTTTAGGTGGCGAAAAAAAAATGGCAAACATCAACAAAACTCAATCCCGAAATCTAACCCCCTCCTACAGGCATGTGAACGCGATTTAGTTGAAAAGGTAGACGTGATTAACAGTGCTACTTCCGTTACTCCAACCACACCGGTCCAACCGTGTACAGGTATTTCATGCTTATTCGCGATCATCAGCACGGTACGAGTTTGGTCTCTTGCCAGGACAAATAACGAAATCAAATCGAAGTATCCTCTTTCTGAAGTATAAGATCTATACAAACACGATCACATAAGTGCCAACTATTACTTTTCGACCAAACAGCATTTTGGAATTATTAGAGCCCCAATTGGATGTTGTTAACCATTGTTGATTTTTGTATACTGCTCGCCACAGAAAGCGAACCAAATACCTCCGTTGAAGACAATACTTTCGAGAAGACTCGCTTTGAAATTTCCATCTATTATTACAGCTTAACCCACCCATTTACCACACTCAAGATTTAAATCCTTTGTTTCACGGTTTTGATATGGTCTATGGTATGATTGATTCCCTAGCCCTACTTGTTATATGACTATATTTAAAGCTTATTGCTTATATCTGATTAGAATTTAACGCATTTTTGAAATGTGCATATTTTAAATGACTGGAGAAAGGGGAATGAGGCTTAAAATGGTTCTTTGTAATTTGAGCAAAAAATATATTTAGACCCGTTTCAAGCCAAAGTGAAACATTCGTAACTCGGTAAAATTAGGAGAAACGTTCAAATTGGTGAGGTGCTGGTTTTAATTTTGAACATAAAAATGTAATTAACTTCCATATTTCGAACAGTGTAGAGTAAAGTGGGGGAAGGGGGAATACGCCCGCGCTGGGTAATACGCCGCAGCTTGTTATCTTCACTTTGAGCCTATATTTGGCAACAGTGTTAATTTTAACACGTTGGTGTAATGTAGCAATCTTCTGTGAATACCTCAGGAATCAAAGCGATTAGTTTTTTAGTGAATATATCGTCAGTATAAAGGTAAGGACCGTTTAGAAAATATATATAAGTCAAGTTATACTCAGTGATAAAAAAAGTTGTAAGTGTTTTTAATCCAATTTCAATAAGAGTATGCCAACATACGATTAGTAACCTAACTTTTTTTGGTGGAACAATCCGTTAAATGTATCTAAAATAGGTGTTGCTACTTTTTTATGAAATAAGGTAAAATGTGGGGTAATATGCCTACAGTAGAGATTCTATTTTGATAAAAAAGGTTCCAAATGTGATTGGTTGCAATGTAAATGCCATGACTGGGTTCACGAGATATGTACTCCTACAAACATATATTGTAGCGATTGTGTCCTACTAAATCAACTAGTAGGAACCTCCAGACCTCTGGAGGTATGCGATTTATTAGCCTCGTTGTATTATTTAATAATACTTGTTATGTTGTAAGGATTATATATTTTTTCTAACCTAAGAAAACTTGTTCCATTTTTACGAGAAGAGCAGGTTGCCATATTCCGCAAAGCATGATGCCATATTACCCATAGGTACCTACGGGTAATATGGCCATAGCGCATCATTCGACATGTTCACTTCTAACCATTCTTCAGACTGGGATTATTTCAACAAGCATTTCACGTCACATACTCAAATATACACGCTCTAAGATGTCGACTTGTCCATGTGGTTGGGTTTGTTGCTTGTTAGAGTGTGAAATTTGTGTTGCCATATAATCCCACTTTACTCTTTGTAAATTACCTTCTGAGGTGCATCCCTTTCTCTTAGCCTCATCAGGCCAAGAGCAAATGCCTGCGTTCTCGTTGTAGACGAGCCCATTCGGACAAGTTATCATGTTGTATTTGCCGTCTACGCAGTAGTAGAATCTATCACATATATTTTTTTCTTCATGGGCGAAGTAACCGTGCTTACGAGGACAATGTTCGCTAGGCTGCGGCTGCTCTGTAATAAGAAATAAGATAAGATTTAGTATACTTTCCACTTCAGTTGGCCCACTTCAAGATTTGTACCAAAATATGCCTTTATAAACTAAACATGACGAAACTATTTACTTCTAAAACAATTTATTTTCTCAAAAACATTTTAGATACACTCTAGTCGTGAAAAATATATATTTAAAATCACTTAGACCTATAACTAATAGAACATCTGAACAAATAAACAATGTGCGAATAAATGCGCGAAGTTAACAAAGCAACAATTGAAAGATTACCATTGGTAACATCACCTTTATTTTTTATTACGGCTGAAATTCTTTGGGGCATAGTGTTAACCAAGTTTTGGCAAAAATTTGGTGTAAAACAATCAGATATTTCTTGAAGCTTTTTCATCTCGTGCCACAAAGTTTCAATAGGTGACAGATCTGGACTGCTAGAAACCCATTTCAAAAGCGGTTCATTATTTTCTTCCATCCATTTTCTAGCCTTTTTTGAGGTATGGCACGCTACATCATCTTGCTGAAACACAAAATCTTCGCCGGATGTCAAACATTCTTCCATCACTGGTAAAAGCGATTCTTCTAAAATTGCCAAACATTTGTTTGTATCCACATTTCCATCAATAAAACGAAGTTTTCCTTTTGATGACATACTGCCCCAGACCATAATGGATGCTGGAAATTTCACTTTTCTCTTCAGACAGTCAACATGGAATGCTTCATATTTTTTGCGAATAACTCTCCTGCGACTGTCACCAACACAAACTTCGAATCGGGCCTTATCACTCCATTGTATTGCACACCATGGTTGAGATGTCCATTGTCTATGTTCCTTAGCCCATCTAAACCGATTTTTTGCAGTGGAGCTAATAGTGGATTTTCTTTGGCCTATAAACAAGTTGTCCAACTTTAGGGTTTTTACTTCACTTTTTTTTATAAGAAAACTGACCTTGCAAGCGCTAAATTCCAGTTTGTGGGCCTCTCTATGAGTTGTGGACCTCGAAATTCTCCTTCCACTCTCCACAGAGCACTTAATTGTAAATAATAGCCCCTACTGAGCGAGGGCCGTGGCAAATGCTTGTTCCGGAAGTTGTTGTATCCAGTATACAACTTCTTCCCGTCCAAGCGATTGTGCACGCGTTAAGGAATACCTCAGTACCGATTGCCGGGTGGCGGTACAAGTCCGCCAACGGGCCACTTTAGGTCTATTTAACATCACTAACACGTAAAAAGAAGGTGGTAGACAAGGACCAGTCGACCGAGGCAGTACCACCCGCTAGCTTTTCCCAGGGTGTCTTATAAATGTCCGCATGTTTCCACACCTAAGCTATGCAGTCGGTTAACTACCAAAACAAAGAAATTAATGATGATGGATCCCTCGAGCACTAAAAACTCCGGACGTAAACTCACTCCACTCTCGGAATGTCCGGGTGGAGGGTGGGCTCGAGGGAACAACATCGAAGATAAAATTTGTTTTTCGAACATCTGCGGGATCAACAGCAACATTGATGCTGTTCATCACTACCTGCAATCCAATCGTCCCGCCATGCTTTTCTTGGCGGAGACAAAAATCTCAGAGACTGCACCGATTAACCATCTCAACTTCCCAAACTACGAGGTGCACTCCAATCTGAGAAAGAACGGGGGAGTTGTGGCTTTTGTCCGCAGCAGTCTTTCCTGCTCCAGGGATCTTTCTTTGGAATCCGACCGGAAGGACATTCTGTGGCTTCGCCTCAACTCCAAAACATCACCCAAATTTATTTGCTGCCTTTATCGCTCTCCCTCGGATCATAACTGGGATGACCTACTCGAATACCTCGCCGTCCAGATCGACTTCCTGAACATCAATCACCCCGCTTCAGAGGTAGTTCTTCTCGGTGATTTCAATGCCCATAATGAGCTTTGGTTGGGCTCAAATAAGACCGATGCAGCAGGTCGTGCGTTCGCTCTTACTCAAGGGCTGACCCAGCTGGTAACGAGCCCTACTTTTTTCCCCGCGTCTCGTCACACGCCAGTAGCCTGCTGGATCTCTTTCTGACCACGCATCCTGCCCCTTACAGCACTGCTGTCCTGTCCCCCCTGGGTAACTCAGATCACGGTGCTGTGGAGGTTAGGTTTCGGTCAGAAGCCGCTGTGGCAGCAGAAACTCGCACAGGCCGCAAAACTTGGCATTACGGACATGCCGACTGGGAGGGGCTCAGAGACTTCTTCTCCCTCTTTCCTTGAAGAGATGTCTGTTTCACTGACGCGGATGCGTCGACTGTCTGTTCTTCAATAACCGAAATTATCCACGTCGGAATGGAGGAATACATCCCTCACACAGTGAAAGTTCCTAAACTAGGGTCCAACGGCTGGTTCAACAAATCGTGTGACACTGCTCGCCAGCAGAAGATCAAGGCCCACAGAACCTACTTACAAAACCCCACTGTAGAGAACAGACAAGCCGACGTCGAGTCCAGAAACAAATATAACGAAGCGGTTCGCAATGCCAAAAACCAGCATGATGTAAAAGTTAGGCACAGGGTAATGTTGCAACGCAATGGCAGTCGGTCTTTCTGGACGCTGGCCAAGCAGATTGAAAAGAACTTCTCACACAGTAGCCTTCCACCACTTACGTGTCAGGATGGAACTATTGTATTCGACTCAAAGGCCAAGGCGGAAGTGCTAGCCAAGATCTTTGCTGCCAACTCCACCATGGACGTCCCCACTAACGCCCAAGTGCCGTCAATTCAAAGGGTTCCCCACACTATGCGGGAGGTAACATTCAGGCATAAGACCGTAAGACGAGTGCTCTTGTCGCTCGACATCAACAAAGCTTCTGGTCCGGACTTGATTCCTGCCATTGTACTGAAGAGATGTGCAGCGGAGCTTGCTCCAGTTCTTTCGCGTCTCTTCCAGATATCTTATGAAACCGGCACCTTCCCAGAAAACTGGAAATTTGCTCATGTACAGCCCATCCCAAAAAAAGGATCTAAAACCGACCCTTACAACTACAGGCCTATAGCTCTGCTTTCTGTTATAAGTAAAGTGATGGAGAGGTGCATAAATCGCGAGCTTCTGGACTACCTCGAACGTCACAGCTTGATTAGCGACAGGCAGTACGGTTTCCGGCACCAACGATCCACAGGGGACCTCCTAGCTTACGTCATGCAACTGTGGAGTAAACTCATCCAGTCTCATGGTGAGGCTCATGTCGTTGCTCTTGACATCACGAAAGCGTTCGATCAGCTGTGGCACGCTGCCCTCTTAAGCAAACTTCCATCCTACGGCCTCCCAGAAAAGCTTTGCAGATGGGTGGCTGACTTTATCTCTGGCCGCAAGATATCCGTCGTAATTGACGGATTCTCCTCTTCATCCCACAACGTCAACGCGGGTGTTCCCCAGTGATCGGTCTTGGCTCCAACACTGTTTCTCTTACATATCAACGACCTCCTTTCCTGCACGATCAACCCAATCCACAGCTTCGCTGATGACAGCACTCTACATGCAGGAATTCAGAGTGACAAGCCGATCTCTGCCGCCGAGCTGGAAAAAAGAAGACTAGCGACGACTTCTTCTCTGACAAGAGACCTGGAGGCTATCACTGCTTGGGGACGCAACAATCTTGTACAGTTCAATGCTTCCAAAACACAGTACTGTACTTTGACGAACAAAAAGCGTCCTAGCGCTCATACAGTTTCGATGGACGGTCGAGTTCTACCAAAGAGCCATTCATTTCGGCTGGTCGGAGTCCAGATCACCGAGGACCTGATCTGGCACGAACACATCTCTTCAATAGCTGCAGCTGCTGGGAAAAAGCTAGGCTATTTGTTTAGGGCTAAGAAGTACTTTTCTCCGCATGACCTTCTCACTCTATACAAGGCCCAGATAAGGCCTAGCCTCGAGTATTGCTCACACATTTGGGGTGCTGCCGCCCCGACTACATTGTCCATGCTTGATGCTGTCCAGAGGAGGGCGGTCCGACTGATCGATGACTCTTCTCTAACAGACAGTCTCGGGACTCTTTCGCACCGGCGGGCCGTCGGCGATCCAGCTCTTTTCTATCGCTACACCAACGGGCTTTGCTCCTCAGAGCTCTCTTCCATGATGCCGCCGCGCGATGTGCCTGCCAGACAGACCCGCCTGACTTCGGCGTCCCATCCTAACCGGGTCAAACTTCGTACATCCAGAACTGGCCGATACGACCGCTCCTTTGTCCCGAGGGTATCTAGATTGTGGAACAATCTACGGGAGGAAGCTTTTCCCAGTTCTACTAACCTTAGGCAGTTCAAAAATCGTATTAACAAAATTTCTTTGGGATCACCATAGCAGCCGCGGTGTTCCGGCATTTAGGCTTCTGCCTGCGCGGCTGTTTCGATATAAAAAAAAAAAAAAATTGGCACGTCTGTTTTTCACGATTATTCTTCTTAACGCTCTTCGTTCGGCATTTGTGATATTACTTTTTTTCACATATCGTGGCTTAATATTAACTGAACCAGTTGCGTTATATCTTCTAACAATATTTCTCACACTGTACCGCGATAAGTCTAACAAAGTTGCAATTTCTGAGTTTGATTTCCCAGAATTAAAAAATTTAATTATCAGTAACCGAATTTTCTCACTAATAACCTTTCCTCTACCCATTTGGAAACCTTAACTACCCAAAACTATTCTGACAGCTGTGATTAATAAAAACAATTGTCATGGCTTTTATTTTTCACAGCCACCTATGCGTTATAGACTTATTTTGCATTGAAATGAAAATAGGTTGATATGCTGTAATTGCAACGTGTTATTTTTACACTGCAAATTTGATTAGGGAGTGATAAAGTTGGTGTTTTCTACTATATATTATCAAAATATTCATTGTTAGTATTTCAAACCTATTATAACACCCTGCTATAATTTTATTATTTGTGTTTGATACTTTGAATCTAAGATTTCAATAGTTGGGCCAACTGAAGTGGGAAGGGTCTCGTACTTCATGTTGAAATGTATTGCTTAAAAAATAGTTACAAACTATATGCACAAAAGTTACAAAAACTTTCTGATTATTTCATAATGACCTTAAATGATTACATAGACGAGTAGATTCACAAACGTTTCTTTTTGGATCACGTAAAACAACATTTTAACATTAACAACCAAATTTGATTTCGGAAATCAAAATCATTTTAACAATGCCTATACATCTTACAATATACGCGTCTATAAATTAAGTGATGAGACTGACAACATAGCGTTCGATCTGGCAACACTGGAGGCTCCGGGCTTGAAGGGGAGACAAGGCAACATGTGATCGGCCTTCAGTACAAGTTTGAACTTGCTCGAGCTATTTGGTTGTCCGTATAGAGATTTGTTTTGTGAAACAGTCTTTTCTATTGTGTTTTAAACATGAGTGACATCAATTTCAAGTAACGGTATGCTATCAGGTTTTGCTTTAGAATTGGGCAAAATGCAACGGAAACTCTTGCTAGATTTCAGCAGGCTTACGGAGTGTTTTGTCAAGAACCCAGGTTTTTCAGTGGTTTAAGGCATTTTCAGAAGGGATAGAGTCGATTGAAGGTGGAAGACGGAGCGGAAGGCCTTGATCGTTCAGATTGTCAGTTGACAGTCAGAATGATCGGTAAAGAGTTAAATTTGACTCACACCACCGTTTATGTGAGACCAAACATCAAGAACAACTGGGTGTTGCATCACGACAATGCTCTTTGTCACACAGCAATGTCAATAAAAGGGTTTTTGACCAGTACCTTCCCAGCCTCCTTATTGAGTCCTTGTGACTTTGTTCTCTTGCCGAAGTTGAAAAATCATTCCCGAAGTTGAAAAATCACCTCGAGGAACTCATTTTGGGACAGTCGAAATCATTCAACCGGCTGTAATCGACCAGCTGAAGGCTATTCCAATATCTGAGTTCCAGCACTGAGGAGTGGAAGAACCACCTCCACCGCCGGGTGGATTCAGAAGGATGTTATTTGGAGGGTGACAATATAAAATTGTAATTACATTTGAATCAAAATTAAAATAAATCAGCCTTATCTCTGAATTCACAGACCTCGCATGTATCTCTCATTCTCTGCCTTCACCTTTCTAGTTTATAGTTATTACTACAGGCAATCCGTTGATGTCTTTAGATAATCTCAACTCATAATTAATACCCACACTAAGAGCTCGCGTTCATGATCTGCTTCAAACACAAAACACTACACAAGCTCGTATGGCTTCGTTGTCTTCAATAATTGTTGGACAGCATCATGGTTGTCCAACAGCTAAAGAGCTTTTGTATTGGGTTTTTGATGCAGTCCGTCGTTCCGGTCCAGCACTTTCTTGATCTAATCGATAACTAGAGAGGTACCCAAAACGCGATGATTATCCCTATTTGTTTATTTATACATAATCGCCCAAAAGACTAATATAATTACAGGGTAATATGATGGTATATTAACTAATAGTGAGAATACAAGAACAACATAAAACAAACATAAAAAAATTAGCTAGATTGGTAATCACTGAAATTTGACAAAGTATACTAAGTGATATATAAATCCGAACACCCAGTTTAAATGGTTTTATTTTAATAAAATTTTATATAAGTACTTAATGAAGCATAATAAGTAAATGATAAAAATTTCAAAATGATTGCACTGCTTTAAAGCCCTTTGACATTTAATAATGTGTGGATGCACCCTGATGTGCTACGCATTCTCCAACGCGCCTAGGCATGCTTCTGATCAGGTGGTCAATGTCCTCCTGTGGTATCTCATTCCAGGCAATCACCAACTCCTCTCGAAGTGCTTCTAGAGTCTGAGGAGGACGTTGCAAATTGAGCAATCTCCTACCCATCATATCCCACACGTGCTCAATTGGGGATAAGTCGGGAGATCTTGGTGGTCATGGTAACAATGTGACATCATTATGTTGAAAGAAGTCTATTGTGACTCTTGCAACATGTGGTCGGGCATTATCTTGTTGGAAAGTTGGATCTGCCAGGGTGTCAAGATAGGGTAAAAGATGGGGTTCTAGAACTTCGTGGATATAACGCTGCGCGTCCATGTTACCTCTGATGAAGATTAAAGGTGACCTGGAACGATAAGCTATTGCACCCCAAACCATAACTCCAACAGTGTGATGAACATGTCTTTCAACAAAAAACTGTGGATTCCTCCTTTCACCATGTCGCCTTCTAACCCTGACACGACCATCGTGCATGCCTAAACAAAATCGAGACTCGTCACTAAAGACAATACTGTTCCATTCCTGATCCCAGAGTGACCGTTGTCTGCACCACTCAAGGCGATTACGTCGGTGTTCTCGAGTTAAAAGGAGGACCCAGTGTGGCCGGTATGAAAACAAGCCAAAACTTCTCATTCGTCGGTAAACACTTCGCATGCCAATAGGTCTTCCGTGTTCTGCAAACCATTCATTTGCAATGGACCTGGTAGTGGAGAAACGGTCCCTTAAGGCCAATAATCTTAGGCGGCGATCTTCACGGTCTGTTGTTCTACGGCGGCGTCCAGTGCCCCTTGCTCTTTGCGTACGGCCTTCTCGAAGCCATGCCTGACAACACCTAACCACAGTGTCTACACTTCTTTGCACTCTAACTGCAATTGTCCGAAAAGAAAGTCCAGCTTCCCGAAGTCCCACTATACGGCCTCTATCAAACTCACTAAGTTGACGAAATCGTACAGGTCTCCGTACTCTAGGCATCGTAACCGATCGTAAAGGATGTCAAGAACCAAAATCCGCCAACGTTGATTCTTTACTGCTGCTGAAATATTCATTTTTAGAGCGTTAGTGAATTAAAAAAAAACAGTATAAAAACCGGAATGTCCAACTGATAAGGCTGAACATTTTTTCACTTGTTATTTACAGTAAGATAAATACATTCACCAACTTTTATTAAAATAAAACCATTTAAACTGTGTGTTCGGACTTATATGTCACGTAGTATATGAATTAATTTCCATTTTTCTCCTAAAACTTCAACACCCCCAGTTTTTGTAAGGAAATATTTTTGGATCATAGTTTATAGAGCAAACTAACATTAATTTTTCATGCAGGTTCACATCCTTAAATATTCACATATCATTAACGAACACCCTGTATAATATGCATATAAAGGATTCCATATTAAAAAAGCATACTCAAGTTTTGGTCGCACCATACGGGCTACGTGGACAGTAAAATTCAACCTGCCGAAAACACAAAGGTCTTCAATCTCTATTGTACTCTCCAAGACCGCATTACTAATGGCACGATCAGAGATTATCTGGTTCATTTTGCGAATATGTGAACAAACTTTACACTTGGAAATCTTTAAGAAGAGAAAGTTATTGTCACACCAATGCGTGATAGTATCTAAATACAGTTTCTAACTTTGTAATTTTGGCATAGATTTTCAGATCATCGGCAAATAGTACATTGTGACTCTTTAATGAGACGGTTAGGTTATTGGTGAATGATGTAGCAATGGACCTATTACTAACATACCAAGGGGCATAGCCATCAAATCTTTATTTTGAAATCTTTGAATAATTTCGATGTTTTAATTCCCCCTTTGAGACAACCACAGATCAAGATTTTGTTCTACAGCGATAGCTTTGAGGATCTTCCCAATAACCACTAATATTGCTTGTTTTAAAAATGAAGTTCTTCACTCTTTTTTATGTGGTATTTCACTTGACTCTAGTCTCAAGGGTCATACCCAAGTATTCAGCCCTTATGGTTTGTCTCCAATGGTATGACGGTACCATTAACGCTCAACGCTCGGAGTTGAGTGACACTTTTTTTTGTAATTCCTTTGGCTGGATTTGAAGGTTGCAGAACATTCGAAAATCATTGCTAGAACATGACTATTTTCCCAACCACTCCATCTTGTTAGTATTGTCTGATGTTCAGGTGACTAAGCTGACTGATATTATTCGTCGTTGTTTGCAAGAGCACCTTCGATCTTAGTTAAAAGTATCGTCGGTCTGTTAGTCTCAGGTCTGGTTACCCAGATACTAGGCAAATTCGAAATAGAAAGAAAGAATTTATGTGAGATTCTGCCAATTATATGCATATCCCACCTGAGGTGTTCATCTATGTAAATTCCTAAATATTTTACACAATTTACTTTATTTATTTTATATTTACTATCCTCCGTGTTTTTTATTGGTAGGTGATCATAAGGTGGCATTTTGTTGGCATACGATGTGAAAGGAATAAAATTATTTTCAAAATTTATTGTTAATAACTTATTATCAATCCAGTGTTTGATTTTACAAAGATCATTTTGTGCTACGTTTCTCAGATCTGTCTAGCTTTTTTTGTATATAGAACCACAGTGTCATCCGCGTAGCTCACGATGCCTTCTTAAATTTTTTGTTTGAACAAATTACCTTATACTTTTGAAATTTGGCCATGGACTTAATTCATAAAGAAATTTTTGAACTTATTGTCAATATAAGACGGATATAATGACCATTTTATATAACCAAATCTTGCTGATCAATCTTAATTTTGAATTCATACACACAAAGGATGATGTAACTTAACATGCCTAAAGAAAAATTTCATGCGAGAGACTATTCACAAATCGTGGGACTGTACAAACAAACTGATGGGTGGTGAAACGTACATACATTCCAAATAGATGACTCATTGGTACTTACGTAGTTTAGGTCTAGACTTGCAATCAATGTTGAAAGGTAGATCGCACTTCTCATATTCGCTGCTGTAATCATTGAAGACCATACCATCTGGGCACAGCTTTTCTGTAATTTTACCGTTCACGCATTCATAGTACTTGTCGCACTGTTCAGCGTCCGCGAAGTATCCATTTGGTTCTGGGCATTGGTCTGAAGTTTCTGCATCAGATGTTGGAGGAGGTTGTCTGTTTGGTCTCCCGGCAAATGCGACTAGAAAAAAATGAAAGATGGAGATATTAAATGAAAATATGCTGGGCGTTTCAAATTCGACCCTCACCCTTGGGATCCTGGAAATGGTGAGAGATACGAAATCGGTTAAATGTTGTGGATTTAGCTCACTAAGAAAATGGTACTTAGGAAATTTCTAAACCCTTAAGTTAGTCAGAAAATGTAACTGATTCCGTAACTGGCAGTTCCCTGTTCCAACAAATTCCGAATTGATTGCGAACCGGTTCTAATAGTTCCGGTTCTGAGAGAGAAATGGAGGTTCAAATTTAGTGGCGCATGCGCGTCAACAGAGTAGATGTGGTCGATAAGCTGTACTGCCATTTTTGCTTTTCCTAGCTTTTTAATCTTCTCATACTGGGTGATTCACAAGTCGTGACCTAAAATGAAATATCATACACAACGTTTAAATGCAAACTCATACTTAGCTTTTCTAGAGAATTACATAGAAAATGTGTCAGATGATGTTCCGTTAGCAACGAGAGTATGAATGTGGTATCAGCACGACGGTGCCCCACCGCGTGACATAACCGCATGGTTTAATAATCATTTTAGACAACGGTGGGTTAACAGAAAAGGACCCGTACATTGGCCTGCGAGGTCTCCTGATTTGAAACCCCTGGATTTCTTTTTGCGGGCCGATTTTAAACAACTAGTGTATGCTGATCAAATTAATAGTGTTGATCAGTTACAAGAAAAAATAGATAATACGTTTCATCAAGTTCAAGCCATAACAAATTTTGCGTAAATACGTTTTTCTTTATTAAAAGGATGCCGCATTTGTATCCGTCAGAATCGTGATCTTTTTGAACATTTATTGAAATAAAGCTTTAATAATTATCTCATTTTTTTTTATTTTTTCAGTTCATTCCAGATGACGGTTTTGAAGATATTCATTTTTGTTTTATTTTCAAACTTCAACACCCCGTATCTTTTTAATGAAGCTTTCGAGAAAAAGACGCTACATGGAAGACCCCCCTTAAAATGTGGTTTTGTGTATGGCGTATCATTTTTTAGTCACGACTTGTGAATCACCCTGTATAACGAACCTAAACCTTAATCGTTTATTACACATATTCAAAAAATTGGTGACGATGAAGATTAGTTTGGATCAGATTCAAGTAAGGATGAAGATCTTGAGCTGATAATAGGTGTATCAAAAATCAAAAATGAAACTTACATACTAAAGTGTTGATAATTTTAATGAATTTCATTCAATCATGTTATTCCTAATATATAAATCTCATATATTTCTTTCATTTTAAGTCAATTAATAGTTTAGCGATGTGTTAACATTGAACTTAATTTTCTCCTCTGCTTTCTTTAGCACATGTTTCCTCTAAAGGCAAAATAATGAATTCTTCCAGTTCTAACAAAGACAAAATTGTCCCAAATTCTACGTCTTGCATTCGGAAACTAGATAGTTTTAAATTTTAATTCAATTAAGGTTATGCTTACGACAACCAACCATATAATTCTCTGTTCTAACAGAACAGTTCAGAACTAGCTTCTCCATAACAATAATTCGGAATTAATTCTGACCTAGTTCGGAACTGCTGCTTGGAAAAAACCATTAATCTTTCCGAGGATAAACGGAATAAAAAGACTTTCCCAAAAATTGTTATAATTTTGTCTTGACTTTATTTGAGGTGGGACTTCAATTGCACATTGTCTCTAAAAGATAACAGAATTTCAATCTGACGTTTCGTATCTTGTACATAGGTACTCAATCGTTAACTTAATTTCCTCTTATATGGACATTATATTGGATTTTTGCATACTTGATTAGAGTATTTTATTCTGGCTCTAAAAATAGTAATAGTAATATTTTAGGCACCGACAATCCTCAGTTATTCAAAAAAACTGATATTTCATAGTTGGCCTTGAAAATGACAGCTTATCACATGCCATTTCGATTAAATCGCCATTCAAATATTACTTCAGTATTTAAGAAGCGTATTCAAAATACATAAATAGATATGACGGATATCAAATGTGTTTTTACATCTTGCATCAGCATTGAATCTTTTACTTTAAAATGTTCCAGTTTCTTGACATCATTGCAATGTTTTCATCGTACCCTTAAATTATATGAAATAGCATTGGTTCCACTCATCACAACTTAGCGTTACTATAGTCATCACTTTGAGCGCTTTCTAGAAGCGATCTCACCGCTGAACGGTACTTTGATACATATCACTGGGCTTGTTAGCCTTTCACCTTTGGGATCTAAAACTGAAAAACGATTAAAAATCTCGTTGGTAGAGATTTAAACGAAAGTTTACCACTTTGTAGCAAGAAATCAAACTATCAGTAAATGGCTAGACGTTGTTTTGTACTCCTAAGTTATATGTTCGTTCTTTCCTTCCATTTTACCCTGTCTGTTCATGAATTTTTAAATTTTCTATCGTAATTTTCTATAACAGCTGGATTTTAACAAGATATCTACACTGTTTTCAAACTGGGTAAAGCAAACACAAAACATTGAATCCCACAAAACAGTATTTATTACTTGATCAAAAGCGGAGATTTTTGGTTTTGATGGAACAATGGCGACCATTCAGGTAGCGCCCCAAGTGATCATGTGCGTTCAGCAGAAAATAAAGTATCGTTACAGTAGTGGCACGTTGTGTGAGCATTATTTTGTTCTATATTTGATAAGTTAATACCCACTATACGAAGATTACTTGTTTCAACATTTGATTATTTGAAGTTCAATCCATGTCGTGATACGTGCATCAGCATCAAAGTCAAAATAGGAAAAAGCTGATGGATGCTTAGCTGATGATATGGCTTATGAAATTCCGTTTTCTATATGACATACATTTTTTGATAAGTTACGACTGTAGTAACTAAATTACTGAAATTACAAATACTTTGTTGTCTTAGGGGTTTGAACTTGGTGACTCCAAAAACAATGGGAATATTTTCAGTTGGTTCAAAATTAGGACGGATAGTTATTACAAACGTAGAGGTGCCTTTTGCATAAACACAATTTGAAAAAGACATGTTTGCTTTCCGTCTTCTGTAACCATGACCAACCGCAGACAGAGCTGTTTGGTGCCCATTAGCAGCTCACCAGTGCAGCATAGGCCTAGTGATGGAAACAGACAAAATAGAAAGCAAACAAGTTGATGTAGTCTTTTAAAGAATGCAACACATTGTGCGCAAGTAAATGGAAATCTGAAATCGCCACATACAGACATAGGCACAGGTTGTCGAACTTATAATTTCGAAGCCGATAAAATATTATAGGAGTGGATAATGGTAGAGTCTTAAACATTTTCACATGTACTATGAACAGAGTAAGCACTTTCTGTGACTGAAATTACACCAGTAGCACAGAGACTGCGCAACTTTGCTCATTACAAAAGATGTTCTACTCTACTTACTTCTTTGGAACATCCATCGCATTTTAGAATAAGATATCTAATTTCACATAATTTTTTGTTTGGCAATTCGAGTAATATTTGTGGTAAAATCAGCATATAAGAATTGACTCCATTCTTTTTTGAAAATACTCTGAAACTGTTAAGTTTGATATCTAATACTGTACCTACGTAGTATATTAAAGAAATAGTGCCAGTCCACTACAATGTTGTTTGGAAAACGTTCATATTGTATCCTAAATGAATACCGTCAGTGGCGTAGACATTTGCAACACAAATTTGAACAGACATCAGAATGTATCATCACTCAAGTTGGGATATGTTACAATTTGCAAAATCCAACACACATCCAACAGCTGCTTTGTCAGTAATGGACAGGTATTACGGATTCAGAATTACAAAGCTTAACGACAAGTGTGCAAGATCGTATTTCAGGGACAAACCACATTTCTGCCTTCTTCTTTTGTAGATTGTTGTCAACACTAATGATCTAAGAGGGTCATCCTATAATAATTAATACGGCCACTGGAATATTTATATTATTATTAAAATGATTGATTCCTAACTCTATACGGAGTGCCCCAGAAGTCTCACGTCAAGCCGGAAACGGGGGATAGGCCAAGTCAAAATAGTTATCAGAACAATATAAAAAATCTAAGTCGTGTACTTTTCAAATTATAGGGTTAAAAATATCGCAAAAATCGTAAAAACCTTCACCTTGTGATGATCTTATAGTTCCCATTACTACAAATTTCAATGCTTTCTTTGACGGATTGTCATTTTACGTAGTGACAGCAATACAAATAGAAACGCCGCTTTAATCAATTCGTGAACGTATTTATCAAATTGAATGAATGTTCAAACTGCCTTCCTTCAGCAGCAATGCAAGCCTGGCATCTTAAAAATGATCGGGTGATCAGACGGGCGAATTTTTCGTTATTAACAAATTCAGCTCCTTCCATTATTTTGTCCCATAGCTCAGTTTTCGATTGACTTTTAGTAAACTTTTTCTTTCACCGCTCCCTAGTAAAAAAAAATCGAGTGGATTTAAGTCAGGTGAACGGGCATAGTGCGCTGGGCAGCCGACTTGCTTAATTCATGATTGTGTAGTACCACCATGCCTGTGTGCACCGTACAGGAACACGCCAATATGCACTACATTTCTCTGATTTTTCCGATTTTTTTAAAGCCTATAATTTGAAAAGTACACGACTGAGATTTTTTATTTTTCTGTTAACTATTGGCCAATCCCCATTTCCCCTCATTGACGTCGACTTCTGGGACACCCCCGTATACATATAATTCACTCTTGATTTCATGGTCATTTTTTCAGGAATGGTTAAACAGTCCACTTGAAGGTGTCGTGGATACTTTCGCAGGTACTACGCTAAGCTTTCTTACAAAAATGCATTGCGCATATCGGAAGAACTATTGCAATAATAAAAACTATAGCAATTGTGCATTAATTGAAAGCTCTATGAGTACCTATAAAGTTTACTATACATGACGTAAATTCATGCCAATGATGCCTAGTTTGATATAGAAAAAAAAATAATGCATGAGGGGTAACGAATTATCATTGACCGTAATTTTTGT